TTTAACATGCTTTTCATTGCAAATGTTTGGGCAGAAAGGTTTTAAACCTAGAATATGCTCAAAATCTCAGCAGTTGCCTAATATTGATTATTTTAAGATGTTTAAATTATTTTTGGCTCCATATTTGTACATTAATCATAAAAATGTTATGGAAATATAATTAGAAACTAGAGTTCAAGCACTATGGGATATAGCATTTCCCAAAGGAAGTCTTCTAAAGAAATATCTTTTATTAAAATAGAAGTCAAAATCCTGAAGTTAGAGAGGAGAAAATGCCTTTCAAAATTTCTTTCCTCTGTCTTTGTAGATACATGTATGGGTTACTTCTTCTTTTCTTCATACTTAGGTTAAATATAATTTCAGTATTTAACAATAAATACTTCGTTTTGTTTTGTTCTGTTCTGTTTTCTCAACAGACATTTATCTGGTGTTTGCTACCAGAACAACATTGTGATAGTGTGGGGAATATTGACTTTTATTCCAATATTAGGAACTAGGGGTTACTGCTGTTGTACTATTAAAATCTTTCTATGTTTTCTTTTTCTCCTGCAGTGGTTGCTAACTTCTTATGCATAATCCAGACCATAATATTTCTGCTGGTGGGTACATTGCAAAATGGAAAAAATGTTGTGTCCCTTCACCCATTCTCCCAAGAACACCTATGGTAGCATCATCAGCAACATCAGCAACAACATTAGCATCGACAGCATCAATATCAGCATTAAAAACATCAGCAACAGCAACATCACCACCAACAACATCAGAATTTGAGTCAATAGTAATTCTGTCAAAGCCACATAATTAGATGGTATCTATGGCATCACCGCTATAAAATAAATGCTGAAATACCCACAATTTATTTCTAGCATATTTATTTATTCAGGAAACATACATACCACCTCTTAGCAAACATATATAAACATTAAAGCAAGTAAAGAACATACAGTACCCACAAAACAAATAAAAGTACAATCAACTGTTCCAAACTCTTTCTATTCTGGAAAATTATGATTGGAGAGGGAACGATGCCATTTTCCTTTTTTCTTTTCCTTTTTTCTTTTGACTCAAGAAAACGAAAACAAAAACACTCCTTCCTATCCTGGGTGGGTCAAAGAAAATTTGCTTTGATGCAAAAACCCTGCACAAAATGGTTCTTGCACCGCAATGAGTACATGGGTATTACTTGTGGAGACTCACCTTCCTTTTTTTCTGTGTATTGTGCTAAAAAACTGGTAGTGTCATAGTGGCATCACCCATCATCATGTGTTTTCTTGCTCCTCACATGTGTGGATGACCTGAGGTTCCACTGCCAGCATGGTCTCTAAATGATATGAAGGCACTGTTGCGTTTTCTGGAATATTACAGACAGGTCTGATGTTTTCTCATGAAACAACATATGCACTGAATATGCTGGTTGTCCAAAGAATATACTCCCCTTCTCAAGCGTAATATGAATATATAGCTGCTCTGGTCTGCAGCCAGAATGCAATCCTACTGAAATGCTGGAATGAGTAAAAACAGCAAAGCAACTCAGACCTTTCCAGAATAATCTCTCAAGGAAAGGAATGCAAAAAACATTTTTTGGTAATGTTTTTGCACCTGAGGTTCCTAAAGATTCAGAAGTTATGATCAAACATGCATTCACCAATATGCATTATTATTACCCATTTGATTGATTTCTAGATCAAACCCTGGTTTTACAAATAGTCTATGGAGGCCCCACTGTCATTTAATAATTGGGTTGGGGAGTTGGAGGGGGAACATGCAATTTTGGAAAAAGTACAAATTCTTTTTCATATAGCCCACTTTTCTTCACCAAATGTAACTGTCTTGATATCGTTTACAGCAGTTTAGTTACACATGTGGAGAAGAAAAATGTAATACTTCTAAGTAAAGCAAAGCTCTCACCATTCTGAGGTAGTGAGCACATGGGATATTCTGAGCACATGGATGGAACGCAAACAAAATAGCTGCTGTGGGAGAAGATGCCCAATCAGAAAATGGCTGTCAAATGGGTATGGCCATCACAAAAAATCCACTTATTGTTCCTTGTCATAGTCTCTAGTGCTCTTCCAATAACACTATTTACCCCCACTTACCTCTATCTTTTCTGGCCGGATGGGCAGAATATAAACAAAGCAATTACAATAAAAACCTAGTATTTTTTAATGAATGCCTATAAGGTCATTAACTGAGGGCCCTCTTCAATTAAGTTGATTCTGGAGGCTAATGCTTTGCTCTACAATATAGCAATTTCTTTTTAAATTCTATCTAAATTTAAAATCACCTTTAAAAATATAAAAAGTAGAGTGTTGTATGAGCCAGCAATCATGGTTTGGAAATCACAGTTTATGATTCAGCATTTTGAGAAAACCCAAACAAGAGGTCACTTGTCCCACAATGGCTCCAAAATGCCCCATTCTAAATCAAAGTGAAAAAAACAACAGATAATGGCTTGGCATGATGTGTGAATCCAGACACACTCTGTAGGGAGTTGACCAACAGAAACTGAGTGAGTCCTTTGCAAGTCCAGATGTTTCCATCTGTGTGGAGGACAAAGCTTCTTGTTACAGCCTGCACTGGTGTTGGGTCTCTCAGTATGGATGCCTTTTCCATTCCTACCCCTTGAGTAACAATCACCACAGAAGCAAAGGAGATATAATTGCACGCTCTGGAGGCCAGCTCTGCCCACCACTGAATAATGCTATGGCAGCAGCTTCAAACATTTCAATCTAATCACGCACGGAGGAATTGTTTCACCTGTCTTGAGCTTATCACAACTGGATAAGTGCTGCTTTTTTATCTGACGTAGTAAATATGGCAAGGCACAATGTACAACTGTAGCTACCCATGAATCATTACAGAAATTGTAAATACATTTGGTGTTGTCAGAGGTGCAATGTGATTACACATATACAAATTTAGGACTGCAGCTGCACAATGACCTTCTGCTCAAAAGTTTTGCTTAAGAAAATGAGGGCAGAATAGCATTTTGCCAAGTAGCATCCTCTACCTGCCATCTATATAACCATCTAGCATTTTCCCCCCTCAGGTTATCTTTAAATGTCAGTCAATGCTCGGTTCCTTTTACCAGTAGACACTTTTCTTTTATTAATCCAAAACACATGTATCATTAGGCTAAACCTATCAGGACTCCAAAATATATTCCAAAAATATACAAAACCCCTTAGAGCTGATTGATACAAAAAGTGGGGTTTTAAAAGGGTCTTTCACCTCTAAGGCAATACATCTATAGTTTAATAATTAAAAATATATTGTCATACTGATTGCAATAGTTATAAACCCGCTACCATATTTTTGATTGGTTAGTTCTATTTTACCTAAGCCAATATATTAAGCAAGAGATCCCAGTATTTTACTGATAAGCAGTCATTAGGTTCAAATTTTTGAAAGTCTTCTTAAAAGACTCAGGAATGCAACACAAATTAGTAGGGAACAATAATTTGCTTTAATAAGTTGACCAGAAACAAAGTATTTATTCCCCTCCCTAGACATCAAATGTACAAGTATTACCCCACATATTAAGACCTCAAGTCAAGAAAAATTATTTGCAATTCTTTTTTCAAACTTTGTTTCTTTTAGTATACCTGGTCAGTTTCAAACCCATTCTTTTCACTCATTAAATAGGTGTGTTTTCAAATAGATTTTTTTAAAAAACAGTATGTAGATCTGAAGGAAATGTCAAAGACAAGCTGTTTCTTTTTAAAAAAATGTGAATATTGCACTTATTGCTCCTACATTTCTAATTAGAGAAAGAAGGAACAGCACCTTTATTCTAATTAAACAATCATTCCCCATTCTGTTACTTGCAAGGCATCCATACTCTCATTCAAATACAACTCAATGAATTATTATTTATTTATTTATTTAAAGTTACTGGCCACCCAGCTCCAGTGGATTCTGGAATTCTATGCAAGATGCAGTTTATTTTTTTATCAGCGTTTCCTTCGAGAAGAGAAGAGAAGAGAAGAGAAGAGAAGAGAAGAGAAGAGAAGAGAAGAGAAGCAATGTTCTTATTTTTCAACTGGGAATAATATCGTTCAAATGAGAGATCCTTTTTTTTTTCAGTACTGCAAATCATTTTTTCTCCAGAAGAAAAGTTGAAACGCAAAGCTGCCAGTGGAGTGGGCCGAATGGAAAGGCAGCTGAAAATACACTACTTTTGATCTATTCTATCGGCATAACTCAGATTTGGAACAGTCTGTTTCTGACTCCCTGTCTTCTTCTTTCTACATGCAACATGCCTCGCTGCAAAAAGAAAAAGGCTCGTTTGTAACACAAGCTAATTTAACGCCAGGACAGCCAGAGGTCTTACTAACTTAACTTCTTCCCGGCAGTCAGAGACGCCGGCAGCTCCTCGCCGCTCGCCTCGAGGTGGAAGTTCGCCCCCAGCTCAGCGGGGCTTCCTTCCAAGTCCGCGCGCGAGCATCGGGGCCCCCACCCGAGACGCACTCGAAACTCCTCTGGAAGTAAATGCCATGTCAAATGCTCCCAAATTTGATCCGTCGGGAATCAGCCCGGCTCGCAGCAAGAGGGAGGGAAGAGGCCAAAAGTGTCCTTTAAGTCGGATCAAGCCGCCCATTAAGGTGCCCATTTAAACCTGGCCAAAGGGGGAGGGGAGGGGAAGGGGGAGGAGAGGGAGACCGAAGCCGCGTTTCGCGGACTCCGGTCCCGACACTTTCTCCCACGCCTGCCGAGCGCGTCCCGCCCAGCCTCGGTGGGCGCCTGGCGTTTCTCTCAGAAGCTCGCCTGAAGTTTTGCTCCGCGCCGCCGCCCGCGCTCCGCTCAGGCGGGGACCTGCGCCGCATCTGCCCGACCGGGGGACCCGCACCCGCCTCCTGCCCGCGGGGGGAAGTTGCAACGCGCCCCAAACCAGCGCACGCGAGGCGGGAACGACGCTACGCCGCCGCGGCGAAAAGCAAACCGGCGCATCCAAAGCGGGGGAAATGCCTGGTCGCCGCCCTCCCCGGAGCCTGTACCTCGCACCGCAGAAATGCAATTCTTCTCTAATGCGCCATGCTCCGGCTGCTGGGCGGAGGAAGCGCGGCGGCGGCGGCAGGGAGCGAGCGAGCGAGCCAGCCAACCAGCCAGCAGCCCCGGACGCAGCGGATTCTCACATACGGCTTCGGCTCCGCCGGAGACTCCAGCCACACCGCCTGCCTCCGGCTGACGTCAATGTCACTGTCACATGGCTCGCCGCGAACCCAAAGAGCATTGGTCGTCGTAGCAACCGCAGCCCGGCGCTCTGAGATAATTTCGAGAGGTCATTTGTCAGACCCGCGTGTGCACGTTTGGAGCGCGGTCGGGGCTGACCTGGGTCCCTCGAGCTGCGCAAAGTGGGGGGAGGGGCCAAAGCCGAGGAAGGCGGCGGATTAATTAAGATCTGCGCGGTTAACTACCGACCTGCCCGCCCTTTTGGGGTTTGCCAAAGCCGAGGAGCGGAAATGTGGCGTGGCGCCCCCACATCTTAATTTCTTCTCAAGGCATTCCCGAGTCAGGGTGATTTTTACCGCTTCCTTCCCTGCCTGGGCTTTTTTGTTTGCTTGCTTGGTTTTGTTAATGGGCTAGCGAAGGGGAGAATCGTGAATTAAGCCTTTGGGGCTATATTTTAACTGATTATTTTTACTGTCATGATCCATCAGTTGAACTGTTCAGCGATATATATTATGCGCCATGTGGATAAAAGCCTCTTTGCTTCCCCTAAAAAAACTTGCACAAACCAGATTTCCTGGTTTGCTTTTTTAACGCATAGAAACATAACTATTTATTTTTATTGGATCTTTATCAGCTTCCTTTCCTGACTAATGTTGGATTTTATTTTTAAAAATCTAGAAATAAAAGTCAATAAATGGTGTAATAAAATTTCAAAGTACAAAAATGCAAGAAAGCTCACAGTATACTAGTTCATAAAAACACATTTCCCAAGTCACTGCAGTAAAATAAGGGTACCACTGAGAAAGGCCTGCCTCTGATCTTCACCAATTTGAATTTAAAGAAAAGAAAACAAAAAGGGAGTAAGCTATGGATCAGACCAAAGGTCTCATTAACCCATGCAAAATGCCTCCTGTTTGCATAATGGCCATCAGATGCAGAAGTCCACATGTCAATAGACTCCTTGTCATTTGCCATCTGTCAACTGGTATTCAGAGACAACGTGAAGGTTTCATGGAGATTTCATTTACTTGTTATACTTCATAAGCATCATAGCAGGAGTTATGGAGATAAGATATGCCAAAAAGATCATACAGTTGGTAGGGCAGATTGACATCTGATTTAAAGTGGTGAATTGTTGACATTGAATTCTTGCCCATGTTTGAACTGGCTCGTTTTCAACAGAGAAATAAGGAAAGGAATGTTTAAATAATTTGATCAAATTTTCCTTAGACTTCTTAGTTTATGTTTATATATTTTCAAGCAGATTTTTCTCTCTTTTTATCCCTACATTACTTTAATCATTTTATTAATATATATTATGTGGTTCTGATATATTCAAATGTAATTTAAAGTGATATCTCTACTGGAATTCTTATGTTTAAGAAAGAAGCATTCAAAAAATCTCAGCCATTTGTCTGATTCTGGAAAACATGAAAGAGATCACATTCCATAAGAATTAACTAAAGATACTTATTTTTAGGAAGAAGCTGTTTGTCAACTTTATTGGGTGTCTTTGTTTATATAGGAGAAAACTTTAACCTCAGCCCAGTTTCTCCATTCACATTATTAACCTTAATAATTAAAAAATGAAGTGTATTTAGATATTAATTCAATGTAGATTTTTAGAAAAGTTTCACACCACTGCTGAAAAAGCAGTTGGTAAAAAAATTGCAAGGTCTTTCAGCTATAGCTCACAGACCATAGAAGTTCTCCCTGGCAAAACTATGATGTCAAGAAAATGATGAAATGTGCATGTCACATGATGCAATCCCCAGCCTTTCACATTTGCATCATGATGCACATCAAGGACACCTTGTTGTTGTTGTTGTTGTTTAGTCGTTAAGTCGTGTCCGACTCTTCGTGACCCCATGAACCATATTGCGCCA